AATTGTAAAGTAACATTTACTAAAATTATCAAATCGAGTTTAAATTAGCTCTAAAATCCATAATTAGTATTAGTTCGGATTTGTTAAGTAGTTTTGTACCTTATTCAAAATTGTTTTTTGCTCAGTGCACAACCAGAGGCAAGGACCTGCGCACTGCACATAATAGATGAGATATGTTTGCTGCAGCAAAAGTGCATTGCATTAGCTAGCTGGCTGAAACAAGACGATAATGTGGCAAGAGCGCAAGTCGGGGCAAGTCGGGGCAAGTCGGAGGCAGAGTACAAACATCAAAGAGCTCAGCTTACTGTACTGGAAATATTTTCATAATTCATATCATAGGCAGCATCGATCCATTGGCCAGTGGGCCAAAGATTTATAGTGTTGCACCGCCCAGGGGGAGTAGCTTGAGATATTTGTGTGTGGATATATATATGTAGCAGCGTCCATTCATAACATGCAATACTTTTAATGTAAGCATGGTGTATATATACATATATGCATGTTTATGTGCCACATGTCGCATCATGCAGCTCAGCAAAATCAGCGACCCAACTTGACATGTGTACTGTACTACTTCGCTTTTCAAATCTGGTGACTGACAGCAACTTTACAGACGCACAAGTACTCGTACAGACTGAAGTGGATGAGGCGGCGACTCCAGTTAACCTTTAAGCCGCCCCTACCCAAAAATACTTGAGAATCTGTCTTTATGTCTGATGCGAGCTTGTGCCATTCGTTTGGAACATTTTAATAATCTTTTATCGAGCGCATCTAAGATCTTTTATATATATATATAAAAAAAAAGAAGTTCTTTAGCAACCTAAGTATTGAGTGGGTGCAGCTTGTATGTGTGTGTGGCAGTGTGTGTGTGTGTATGGGTGTGTGGGTGTGTGGCAACATGTGCGAACTCAACACATTGTTGCTGTGTCAGATCTCATTTTGACTGGGCGAACTTGTGGCCTGAACTTTGAACTAAGCTTTTGTGTGTGTGTGTTTGTCTGTGTGTGCGTCGTTGTCGCACTTTACAAGTTTTAGCTCCCCCCCTTAAGCAGAAGCTGCAACAGCGGCAGAGACCAGCGACGCTTTCATCATTTCGATATCAACATTTCATTCCTGTTAAACTTGGCTTTGTTCTTCGGTTCACAGTTGTCTGTGCATGCATTATGCACTCAGAAACAAAATCGCCCTAATATCAAAATTGCACTTTAAGATAAAGTTGTTAAAGAAAAGTATCTGCTTTAAGATTAGAATGTTTATCTTTTTAATTTTCATTCATAATTGTTTAGTGCACTAAGCGAACGAGTCGAATTGTAAGTTCAAACAGATTTTATGGCCTAAAATATTAGCCTTTTATGGGTAACAGTGTTGACTTATTTTCTACACCGTGTGACCAATTCTAACCCCAACAAAGTATAAATTTACTACAGAAATATTTAATATTAAATATTTCAAAACAGTTGATAAGCTAAGCGTTGTTTTTTTTTAAACTTTTACTTTTAGAAAGATACAAGCTTAGAAATTTGCTGCCCTTGGATCCAAAAGTATGGCCCGTTTCTTAAATAAAAGACCATAGATATTTATCTGTATCTAAATATATTGAAATAGAGATCTATCTAGATTTGTACAGTCCACGCTAAAAATCTGGTCGATTTTTTTCGAGTGTAGCTGCGATTGGACGGGTTTGTCAGGACAATTGCTCGCATGCTCAAGTTGGATTTTTGTATTAAAAATACGCCCAAGCTGATGACTTGATTACAACAACAACAACAACAACAATAACAACAACAACAGCAACAACAACAAAAACAGGAGGAGAACCAGCTCAATGCGTTTGCAGCGAAGCATGAAATGAGCACTGCCAGCTGATTCTCATCTGCAGCACAGACTTGCAAACTTTGTTTGGCTAATTCTAGTGATGCACTTGCCAGAGGCTGACTAAAAACAAAAGCAGGGAAGAAAACAGAACAAAAACAATTTGCTTGAATCGAATCGAGGCAAAAAAGGGGCGAAGCTGCTCCAATTTACTTGACTTTGCTGTTTAGCTGCTCAGTTTCAGCTCTTGTTTGGCATTTGTTCGTATAGTTTACAATGCAATTAACCCATTTTAAAGTTGCGCTTGTCGACCACAGTAACCAACTGACAAAAGACGCGGTTTTGTCCGTCTCTACTCTTCCTCGCTTGGCTTTCGCCTTTCCGGCGGGTTTTGTTACGCTGCTTTTGCTCTGCACGCCGACGCCAAATCAGTTTAACAGCAAAAACCGAGCAAAAACTAATTGCTCAGCCAACTTGTAGCTTTGAAATTATACCGCAAAGTAAAATTTAGATGGCTGCAGGACAGTGGGCATAGGAAGCACTGTCTGAAAGTCACAATAAGTTTTGGTGCACCCCCCTCGTGGCTGACATACAAATTAAAAACGAATGCGGTCACATTATAAATAATTAAAGATGCTTCGTGGGCGCACTAAATTCCTTTTTATAGCAAAATGCGGTCAGGTGATCACGGCAACAAAATGTACAAAAGCATTTATACAGTATTTACTGTCAGATCTTGCTCCTTGCTCTCTTTGGCATAAAACACGAAACGACAAAACGACACATTTTTCGAGCTGCCCGCCGCTCTGTGTGTCATAAATAAAAGGAGAAGGAAAATTGTGCGCCACAGCATGTGGCATGAACAAGACAAACACACACACACACACACATATATATACATATAAAAATCTCTAGGCCAAACAGCCATAAAACTGATAACCTTGGCCAACAAAAACAACAACTGTCTAATGCCAAGGTGCCAGCAAAGATGACAATGGCCAATGGCTCCCAATTCCTGTTCGCCACCCCCTTCCCCCTTTTATAAATGTATGTTGGCCTGTTTATTTACGACTGTTTACCACCTACACGATAAAAGCCTTTTGCTCACAGCGGTGCAGTGCATATAAAAGCTACTTTTATCATCCGGCTTGGCCCGCAGCTACACAGAAAGAAATCTAAGGCATACTTCATCTATGTGAGTGTCTATAAAAATCTTTAAAAAAAAATTAAACATTTTTTAAATGTGTTGGTTCTACACGATTTTTCAAATTCTATCCCATTTTTTATTATTATGTTTTATTTATTTGTATTTTTTCGAGTGTAGGGACTTGACAGCATCATTTTGAGTAATTACATGACCAGGAGCGGCACCTAGAGACGCCACAGGACACAGCGGACTCCCGAAGTTGTCTGTGCAGCGTACAAAATAGATACAAATATTTTATTGCTCCTCGAGGACATGCCACAAAGTAAGCGCACAACGTGGCGTATACTTGATGTCTTGCTGGCTGCCTGGCTGGGCTGGCTGGCTAGGTTGAATGTCTGAGGCAATAATGAATACGATAGATAATTATAGACTCTCAAAAGCACGCGTACAAGCAACCAAGTCGCAAGCGCAGTGACTTTAATGGCTTTTCTAAGCGGGGAATGGCACTGGTGGCATGGTGGCAAGTATAGAAGTGCACCGCCCTCTTTCGACGGCTGCTTTCGTAGGCTGGCTGGCTGCACGGAAGTAGTATCGGTTACATGCTTTAATCTAAATTTATAACTTTATTTTTCATGAGCAGTCGCGACTCGCCTCGAGGCAGACAAGCAGATAGGGAATGGGCGGGGAAGAAGGGGGGCAGTCAGTCAAGAGAGCCATACGAAAACCGTTTTTATAGCCTTTAAGCACTTTTTTGTGGGCCATTTTGTGACTTTGAGTTTTTCCCTGCATGGATGTGATAATGAAATAATTTGAACTTTTCTCTTTTGCTTATTTATCTATGGCTTACCCACAGCCAAGGGGCCCAAGCGTGCAGGCTGACCAGCCTCGTCCTTTCAGCTCCTGCTGCGCTCTCTTCCCTCTTCTCTCCCTCTCTCTCCCTCTCTCATTTTGTCTGTCTCGATGTCTGTTCGCCCATTATGCAAGGCAAACTCATTAAATTATGTAAAACTTTGACTTTAAATATGACAGCAGCCATGAGCAGCATAGAGGCGTGCTACAACATGTCCCAACTGAATATGTATATATATATATATGTATGTGTGTGTGTCTGTGTGTGTGACTGTGTGAGTGTGTGACTATGTCCTTAAGAGCTAGTCGTTATTGGGCTATGAACTTTAAAGTTTGAGTTGTATTTACTTTGGCCCTCATTTACCGAGCCGGCGAGCATATTTTGCATATAGAAAACTACCCAAATAAAACAAAGAGTGAAAAAAATCTCGTTGCTTGTGTAATAAATGCACTTTGCGGTGTAATTTTCGGTGTCAATGAAGTTAGGCGAACGCATTTTAGGGAATTATCTGGCCACCGAACAGTGACTGCCAGAATTAAATGCCTTAAACCGCTTTTAGTGGCAAAAGCATTCCGGTTGACTACAAAATTAATAGAAAGTCATTTCAAACAGAATGTTGTTTCTGTTGAAGCGGGCAACCCAAAATAATTCACAGAAAACACGCACATAAGTTAAAAAGTTTCACTTGATTTAAATTCACCTTATTGTCAAAAACTTTTACTCTTTGGCATCATCATTTTCAACTAATGACTTTAAATATTCATTCCGATTCAAATATGCGAATAAGCTAAGAATGCCAAATAATTGAACAAAGGAAAACTGATTAAGCTCCAACAAGGCACCTAGGCATTTTATAAATAAATAAGAATATCAAATAACTGAAACTTTAGAAAAAGTGATTAAAATTCAACAGGACAATATCATTTGAATATCTTTTTTTTTTGCATGTATAAAAGATGTGCGAAAGGTAGGTGAAACAAAATCAAAATAATGTTTAAGCAAAGAGAATTATTTCGAAAAATGTACTTTAAGGAAAATGTATTAAACTTAAGATAGACAACTATGCATTTTAGATATAAAAAAAAAAACGTTGATTACTTTTTGCGTAGTGCTCACCTCATGCTTTATTTAACAGCAATGAATACTCAGAAACTAATTAAACTTTCACTTTCTTCATTTCTATTATTTTAGGCAATTAAGGCTAGAGAAAAGAAGTGTCACATTTAAATGTGGTCCTGGAATGCAACGCGTACAGCAGCAATTTGTCAAAGTCAAACCAAGCGTGTGCAACACGCAGAACGCTTGCGGCACGGCGCCTTTTGCCAATTAGTTGAAGCAATCCACGAGAAGATTTCCAACTAAACATACTATTTGAAATTGAACTAAGGAGGCGAGTGCAAAAGTTAAAACACAGTGTAAACTTAATGGCCGCGACAAGCACTTGAAGCAGACAAGGAAAGTTAGAGAGCAAAGCATCGTTCACACGCAGAGCATATCAATTGAATAATCCACATTGCGTATACGCACCGTATACTGTAAACTGGCGTTCGACTGCGCGCAACAATGAGAATCATTACACGTAGCATACGTCACGGAAAAGCTGCCACTGCTGCAGCTGCTGTTGCACACGGCCACAACCGTGGGGCCCTGAAAATGAATTGCCCCATTTTGATTGTAATTAGCCTGGGGTGGCTGCTGCACGGCAACGGCTACGCTGCCAATGCCGCCATTTCAAATCGAGGTAAGTGATTCGCTAGTTGCCCGCAATCTAACAGAGCAAGTTGCAGTTGTAGTCACGACTTGGCCAACTACAAAATTGCCATCCCAAGCAAATAGTAAAAGCATAAGCCTGCAGCCATTCTGCGGCGATTATGCGCTGTCCTGCAGGGGTTGGCGGGTGAGGGGCAGCTGTTCCCGAGCTTATGCATTTAATGTGTAAGCGTATTTCTCTTATATTTATATCCACAACATCTCGTACGAGTATGTGAAAGGTGTAGAGTCCTTTCACACAGCAAAAAGTTAGCTTAATCAAGTTGAGGAAATATATTTCCTCATAAATAAAAATCATTATTTTTGCTTCGTTTTTTATTGTGTATTAAAGTATAAGACTAGAGATTCAAAATGATTACAAGCGAATTAATTATTAGATATAGCATTGATTATTGATAGTACACTCAGAAAAAAGCCAGACTAACTTTGTTTTAGAACAGTTTTCTGGTTTTCAGATATAATTTCAAAATTAATATAAAAAAAACGTTGTTTATACATATTAAATAAATACATTTCTTAATAATATATTATTTTCTTGACAAAATACTTTCTGAAATTTTGAAAATATTATTGAAATATTCTATATCGAATGCTATATTTGAATTTAGCTGACTAAGCACCTCGTAACAGCTCTCTGTAGACATAAATTCAGGAAGATTTCTTTGATAATCGCTTCACTTTTGTTCTATTAGCTCTGATAATGCCCTACTAAAGTTCTTAGCTGTATCAATAGCAAACGAAAAAAAAAATTACAGGGTATTTGTGAGTGTAAGCTACTCGGCTAGTGTTCGTTTCAGTTAGCAAGGCACTCTACATTAGTCGCATTTATATTTTCACAAAAAGCAAATGCGCAAGTACTCGCAATCACACAGAGAGAGAGAGAGAGAGAGAGCTAGAGAGAAATAGAGAGAGAGCAGTTGCAACTGAATCCCGATTTAAATGCCAATGCAACGCTGCACAAATCCAGCCGCGAGGATTCTCGAGCACGTTTTGCCATATTTAATGTTAAGCCCTAATCGGCAGGGAAACTCTGTCACTTGGGCAGCAGCGTGATAAATTAGAAATTCCACTTTAAAATATACATGCGATAGAGTACGAATTAAAGTGTCAGTTAATCCGTTATCTGGCACACCTTAAAGACACCAACGCTGCAGGAAACTGGACAAAATTCAAGCGAGGAAGCGATGGACGCTGACAAATGCCTAACAAATTTGTCCGCCAGCTGCGTCTTTGCAGTTGTTCTGTGGATGCTGGCACAGCTGCCAAAATGCGATGAACTTTCAATTTGAAAGTTTCTGCAGGGCGAATTCCAAGGCCCCCTCAAACTTGGCTGAGGGGGGGGCAGCATTGCACAAATAGTTGGCTTATCTTTTGCAGCAGTTTAGCCTGGTAAGAAGCGCAATTCATTCAGTGTTTGCCCGTTGGGCAACGACTACGTTGAAAACGATGAAGACGAAGTCTTTGCTTTTCTTCTATTAGGCAAGTAAAAACAAGAAATAAATTGAAAGTTCAGGTGGCTCGCCTATTCTCAACGAGCGGCTTAAAGCACTTAAATCTGGTCAGAACTAGCTTGAATGGCCCGAAAAACTCTACCTGCATGAAAACACAATTCACATGCCACGGCCATATTTTGCAGCCTTGCGCAACTTTTAACAAAACCCAAGCTAACCAATCGATAAATTTAAGAGCCCCACATTTGTCTCCATTATCGCAGAAATCCAAGGCAGGGCAAGCAAAAAAAAAAAACAAAAAACAGGAAAAAAATGTGAAAACTGCGAAGCGCATAAAAAAGGACCATCGATGCGTGTCGCAGCGTGGAATTGCCAATGTTTTTTTGTCGACCCGGGGGCGGGGACTCTCCACCTACTCCCCACCCCTTCTCTTTGTGTGTGTGTGTGTGTGTAATAATGGCATTGAAAAGGCGTGTACTCTGCAATAAACAAAAAAGAAAGGAAAAAAGAGGGAAACCAAAACAAACACTAACACACGACAGGTTTGGGGGATGAAGTGAATGTATATCACAGGTGGAAATGTGCTTTTGTCACTGATCATAAATTTTTGTGCACTAGCTTTGCCGATTGTTGTCGGTTGCTGTTGCTGTTGCTGTTGTTGTTGCTGTTGCTTTTGCTGTTTTGGGCGCTTTTTGTTTTTAGCTGCTGCTGTTGCGTTGTATGGCAGACAAGTCAATAAAATCCCAAGCTGAAGGCGAACGCATGGCTCACAATCACAATCAGGACGACAAAAGACACACATTATTGCATCGCCTTGGGGATAGGACGGCCCTCATTTCTTGTGCCCTTGTCCCCTTGACAAATGTTTATTGAGTAGCCAGAGCCATTAGCTGAAAACTCTTTTGTGGCACGTTGTGATACCTACCCAAGCACCGCTGCAGCTGAAATCAACATATAGCACTTTATTTCAACCATTATGCGAGCCATGTTTTTTTCAAAGACACACAGACACAGAACATTAGATTACACTGGAAAACAGAAATAAAAACAAGAAAGAAGTGCTAAATTTGAATATAAATTAAAAAACCGATTGATTGTTTCTATTAAAAAATACGAAAAATTTAAATAAAATATCACTGAAAATTGCAAATAAATAGTATTCATTAAATGGAATTTTTCCACTTTTGCCAAAAGATGTGACATACATTTGGCACAGTGTAGTGTTGCCAACTACTGCAATCTGAATCTGTTGCACGTAATGCCGCTTTCGAGCCAACCATTCGGTTGTAAGTACTTGAAGGATGCACATTAACTCGCAGTCAGTCAACATTTTATAAACTGACAACAATTCTTCATAAATATACGTACGGGAGTTGGTTGTAGTAGTTTTAGTTGTGTTTATGTTTGTGTTTGTAGTTGTAGTTGTAGTTGTGGGAAAACAAATAATAAAAAAAACACAAGCGGAAAGTGCACACGTAGCCCAAACAAATGTTTTCCATGTGAATAGCCTTTTTGTGGGTGTATCTATGTGTATGTGTGTGTGTGTGTGTGTACAACAAATACGTTAAGGTCTCTCAGCCTGCCCAGATCTTTGGCATGTTGTTGTGTTATTTGCATATGAAGCAGTTTTGTTTGGCATTTTTAGTGATTTCACTTAAATTTTCATAACAAAACAAGAAGAGTACGAGCTTGTAGCTCGGTTAAGCTGGGCACGATGTACACACACACATATATATGTATATATATATATCTGTACAGAGCTTGTAGCTGCCTGGCAGGGCGATGTTCTATAGCATGTTCTAGATGTCATACTTACACACATATTTTTCAAACAGATTCTTTTTTTTTTTTGTTGTGTACAGATTTCTTCTTCAGAGCGGCGAAAAACCGCATTTTATATGTTTTGCTTTTGCTCTTGTGCGAAATTTTTCATAGGTTTAGTATTGCCGCATACGCACGCCCATCCAGCATATATATATATATATTTTACACACACTCACACACACATTCCACACATGCATGGCAATGAGCCAGCTGCATATCCAGAGACCGGGAACAGCGTGTGGCAGGCAAACTGCATGACATGTTGTACGTGTTTGTATGCAGTCGATGCCGCTGCCACTGCCACTGACTCAGTCTCTGCCTCAGTCTCTGCCTCAGTCTCTGCCTCTGTCTACGTCGACGTCGACGTCTGTCTTGCTCCAACTGTTGTTTGGCTCCGCCCCGCTGTGGTTGTAGTAGTATTATATTTGCGAATCCCTTTGGGTATGTTGGCAGCAATAAATTTTCATCAGTCCTCCGCCTCTGTGCAACGAACGGCAAAGCTATTTTTCCCACTTCACGCCACGGCTTCGCCTCATCCCCATTAAGTAGAAACCACCAGCCCAGATCCACACACACACAGGCACACACACACACACACACCGCCCAGACTGTCCTGAACACATCCAGGATGGCTGCTGCTGCGTAACAAATCTCGGGCTCAGCTGGCGTGTTTTGTTGGCCGTGTTTGCGGTTTTTTCCAAATACGTTTTGATTGTTTGTCATATTTTTGCTCTTTTTTTTAAATTCGACCATATGCCTGTGTCATTCCATACAGAAAGTGAATTTTTCGACTTTCTACCGATAACGGAAAATGCGTATTGATTTAGGACATTGATCTGTCAGGACATATACCCAAAAAACTATGATATCATTCTGTGTAGGTATTTGTTTTTCCACTTTCCGTTTTGTGTTACAAGCGAAATCAAAAATAAAAAGCCGAATACAAATTCTTATATTGCTTCACTCAAACACAGCTTCCATTAAAAAATAGACAAATCACAAAAATATAATAATGGAAGTTTAAATGAAAAATATCTCCTTACTAGGGGGCTTACTTTGACGGCGACTAAAGTTTCTATTTACATAGCCTTAACTGTACTCAGCCAATATACGCATACGTCGATTTACACAGACAAATATTAGTACAGAGTATTGATAATTAATAAATAATTTATCAATAATAATTTATAAATGATTAATTTAAGCAACAGTTTGAGTGCATAGATATTTAAGCGTATAAAACGTATTTAATATTTATTTATGTATCTATTTAACTATCATCTATTATCAAAGTCGCTTTGTAATTTTGTAATAACATACAAAAGATTAAACAAAACAAATACCTTTCATTCAAATTCAAAACTATTACATTTATTTCAATTTTTCATATAAATAATATTTATGCTTACTTAAGCATAATACAAAAAAAAAGGTGAATCAGTCAGATGTTAGGCTTGGTTATTAAGTTTTATATACTATTTAAATTGAAACCTGGAAAAAAGCATGGAAAATATAATTTTTATTGGTTTTCTCACAGACTGAGTCAAGTTTGGTACTTAAACATTTTGTGAACGTCTGAGTTAAATAACTCCAAAACGGTAAGCAACTGTCGCAGATATCTTATCGAGATGGCAATACAGGTTGACATCCACCTCATTTGGGTTCGTGGAGAGAGATTGTGTTGCGGATAAATTGCCCAGGCAAGGCACTACTTCATCTCTTCTTCGAAAGAGGTAGGGTGTTGAAATGTCCATGGCCCCGTTCACACTCCTGGTGCGAGAGAACTTAAAGCGGCGGTCCAAATTCTTACAGGTCACTTGCTGATAGGAAATCATGCAGCTGGGCGGTCCCATCCCTCATCGTGACTACTGTAGAAGTTACCTGGACGAAGCATAAGAGGAATCGGTCGAGCACTTATTCCGTTACTGCCCAGCCCTTGAGGGGAGAAGATTTCCATTTCTGTGATCTCCCTTCCTTATATATCGTATATCGGAACTAGCGTAAGAAACTATCCTGATGGGAATCTGTGTGAGGGGTTTCTCCTATTTATTTAATTATTTATGTTTTATTCAAGAATAAAAGGATCTGCGAAAGTATATATAAAGACATAAAGATATTTGCTCTACTTTTCTAGAAACAGCACTACTGTAAGCCAAATAAACGAAATGCATGCCATTGTTTTCATGCTCTGCTTATTTAATATAATTTAGTTATTACAGAGGCAATGAGGCCAATTACATGCAATTTTCGCATTTTTCTTGAGTCGTTGCCAGACCCTATTGTTCGCCATTTGGATGTCTGGCTGGGTGGGAATTAAAGCATTCACTAATCGCATTATTAACATGCCGTTAACAGTCTTTAGCTTTTCAGGTTTCATTTATGGTCGGATTATGCTTTGACTTACGTATAGCCAGCTTATAATAAATACCCTTGGAGTTATGGATGATGAAATTGAGATCGCTGCTTCTGATAATTTTAAATACATTATATGATGAGCCGTATTCGAGTATTCGATGCGATTGCTGAAAATTACCGTAATAATCTTAGCAATTAAAGGACACTTAAGTTCTTAAAATGAAGCCGTTAATAAGCTCACTTGCCAGGACGATAATTACACACTGAAGCTGCTCATCGCATTCGCATTTGGCATTTCACAATGCAAATGGTTGCAAGGACAGCGTTGCATAAGATTTTATTACACTTGGCTGATAGTCGAACTGTTGCAGCAGCTATTAAAAAAGGTAGTTGGTTGCCACATGGCCCCCGAAATGGGAAACGTGAAACAACAGTGAGTGCTAACAAGCACTATCATCAACATAACAATTCGAAGCGATTTATTTTTATGACAGCACTATTTAAATTTTTATATTGCGCAAAATCGATGAGAAAAAAAAGCAAACAAAAAAATGGCAGAAATTAAAGTTGAACGCTCAGTGAGAAAAAGGCCTAGAAATTTACAAAAACTTAAAAACAAAAGTTGAACTAGTTTTTATATATTATACAAGCACAAGAACACACACAAACCAACACTCAGAAACACACACATAAAAGTGCTCAACAAAGAGAATCGGTTTCTTTGCACAAAGTGTTTGCGGGCACGTCACAAAAGCTTCCTGTTGAATTTCCCTTCATTTCCTGCCCAAAGATATTATTATTTTCATTTACTGGGGCACTTTAACAGACAGAGACTTACACACATCGAGAAACACAGAGAGAGAGAAAGAAAGAGAAAAATATATTCATACATATATTTGCTTTCCGCCCACTGTTTACTCTGTGTATGTGTGTGTGTATGTGTGTGTGTGTGTGTATGTGGCACGTTCATTAACGCATCATTTGCAGAGCAGCAAAAAAAAAAAGAAAAAAAACTTCCTCTTTGCTGTAGCTCAAGTCTGGGGCCTAGACATGGTCCTTGGTCCTTGGTGCTTGCGGGTCACCCAACTCAAGCCCAGCCAACACCTGACCATATCCTTGAAGTTCAGTTCACGGCTACAGCGGTTCCTCATCGACAGCGGCAACGCCATTGCCATCGTCGTGGCCATCTCGTATATTTGCATACTTCCGGCGAACGGCAAAATGATTACCATTATTATTTTTGTTGTTTGCTGTGGCCGTAAACGTCGGCATTATGGTTATTACACTACCAATGGCACTTCAACGTGCATGCAAGATGGCCAAAACCAAGCCAAGCCGAGTCGCGTCTAGTTGAGTTGAGTCAAGTCGAGACGGTTATGGCTTATTTGTGCAAATGAGCTGCAGCCCCGTTTATTGTCATATTCCGCAGCAGCAAGGAAAATGCAAATGATGGTCTTCGGCCATCAAGAAGGTGCTGCTGACTCAATGTCTGCCCGAGCACACATCTAACCCACAAGGTCAAGTGGGACAAGCATCACCCAACCCTTCCAACCCACCCATCACTCCATCAGTGCGGACAAGGTCGAGTCAATTTAACTCAGCTTCGATTGATTGACTGCAGTTGCAAACAGTTGCAACTTTGTAATGTTTGCTAAGAACCAAAAACCAAAAGCCAAGTCTAACTTCGCAAAAGAACCAACTTCTAGTCAAGGAGTCGAATCGTAATTCTTTTCAATTCTCTTCAATAGAATTACAAATTAAATTTCTTTGTATATTGGAAGATACATCTAAAGTCAAGTATAAATGTAATTTTTTTCGATTTCAGGCGCCATTGAATTTTCATCTAAAACACATTTAATTCGTTAAAATAATTAAAAAGATTCCTTCGATTTTTGTAAGACTCGTAAAAAGTTGATGTTCTTCCGATTTTCCACAAGCGGCCATCAATTTAATCGAAACCACCTTTAATATATTATTATCAAATAAATAAACAATATATTTCTCAGCTTTTTGGAAAACTATTATAAAGTAAAGTGTAATTCATATTTATTTGATTTTCTTCAGTCGTTATTGCTTCTATTCGTTACCACCTCACTCATATACATACCACCTTTTATTTAAATTGGATCTTCAATCCCATCAGCGTTCGCGTGAACCTCTCCCTTCTGTGCCCTCAAGGGCCCCCTGCTAAATTGCCTCTCATAAACCTTGCTGGTAATTAATTAATGCCACTGCCGAAGGAGCACAACTCAAACCAATTTTAAGAATTAATTATGCTACACACACACAACTCTTTCCCAGCAACATCAGCATGCGATTCGGGCATAAAATAGTTTGTCATTATAATTATAAAAAATAAAGCAACCAGCCCTCCAGAAAAAAAAACTTTAATTGCATTGGAACTATCTACGTTCAGCTAATATATTCACTGAAAATTTAATAAGCCTTAGTTCGATATATTGGTTGGGAGCCAGTTCGACAAAAACCCCAGTTAAGTTGGCTTGTTTATAAATCTATAAGTGACCAATGTACAGTTCAGAGTTTGTCATCACAGTGCTGTCAACATATATGTATATTTAGAAATATATAATATATATATATATATATGTATTTTTAATGTTATGTGTGCAATGCAAGCTACGTTTTCCATAAGTCAATGTGGCGCTCGTCTTGCTTCTCATTTAGCGGTCATTAACATAGCGCACAAATCGCTGGTCAATCGATCAACTGACCAAGAGGCCGCGGAATTTGTGGCATTCAGATTAGTGACGACTGTTGAGCTGTGCAAATCGGAAAACATTAAATTTTTGCAGTTTTCCCCCAAGAAGGAGAGAGACAGAGACACGCGACTCCTGTGTGGCAATGGCGCCCAACATTATCGCCTACATATTTTATATGGTTCGGGATCTGATCGCTCATTACAGAGATCCACGCATAATCAACATTCCGTTTATTGGGAATTTGAAGTATATGGTTTCTGTGATTGTCATCTATTTGTTATTTGTGCTATATTTTGGCCCCAAATGGATGGAGAAACGGCGACCCTTCGAGCTAAAATATGTGATGCAATTGTACAACGCTATACAAGTGGTGGCAAACACGATAATTTTCCTATATGCCGTGCTCTTTACGGTCCTCAGCCCGGATTTCAGTATGTTGTGCCAGCCCGTGGATTATCAGAATACATCGCCGCATATGATGCACATCATCTATGCCAGCTGTGGTTACTATCTACTTAAATATCTCGATCTGCTCGATACGGTCAGTTTTGCACATAGATGATCCTTGGATGATCCACCCAAGCTAATCCAATCCGGTTTCCCTCCTTCCAGGTCTTTATCGTGTTGCGCAAGAAGAACTCACAGGTGAGCTTCCTGCATGTGTATCATCATGCTGGCATGGTCTTTGGCGTTTGCGTCTATATGAATTTCCTGTGCGCTTCCCATTGCACGATGTTGGGCCTGATCAATCTGCTTGTGCATTCTGTGATGTATGCGTATTATTTTGCCACCTCGCTGGGTGCTGTGAAACAGGTGCTGTGGTGGAAACGACACATTACCCAGGTGCAGTTGCTCCAATTTAGCTATCTTTCGCTCCATTTTCTGCTTGTGATCGTACGCAATCCTTGCCAGTTTCCAATATTTATGGCCTTCGTTGGATTCACACAGAACATCTTTATGTTCGCCATGTTCTTTGATTTCTATTACAAGACGTATATGCGAAAGCCTCGGCAACAAGTGCAACAAGTCGATGCAGCGGACGAAGCAGCGCAAAAACTTACTTAAGAAACTAAGAATAAAGGTTTAAGTTGTATTTCTATTTGAGTATGTAACATGTAAATTGAATGTGATATTTGATTGAGTTCACATTTTCAGTTTTGTTCAACTAATTTGAATAAACATTTTCGACGGCCCTTGAATTTGAACTTGGCAATGCAACTAGATTTATACAACTTTTCATGCCCTTTCGTGCACCAAATTGTAAATGGGAATGAATAGTAAGTATTTAACAGGCAGATCCAATGCACTATATATATATATATATATATTTCTATCTAAGAATATTACGATTTATATTTGTTAAGCACTTGGCTTGAGGGTAGCATTCTCGTAGCATTCTTACTGATTCTATTTTTCCTTTTTTTTTGGGAGCTCATCAATGTTTCAAGTATTATCCAAGTGCTTATGCCTCGAGCGTAAATCAACATTTCTGATAAAGTTGACAATGAGCTCGTCTTGTGGCATTACATTTAAACCTACATACATACATATGTTATATGTTGTAAATATGTATGTATGTCACATCAGTGGCTTGGGGCTGACGCATAAATCTCTTTATAAATTATAATCTCTTAAAAATCACATTGTTAACACTGAACGTTTTTGAGATTTCTGGATTAAGATTTGTTTGTTGTCAGCTGTTTGCTGAAATTGCTGCTGCACATATTAAATATGAATTTTACTGTGTATGGACATTTCCACAAATAAGTCAACCGACTAAGAATTTTTAAAGTGTTATAAGCAAACGGAATTTTCGAATATATTAAATCAATGTTCAAATTTTTATGAATATTATATTCTTACAGTTTATCTAAGTTGTTATTTTGAGAAAATTAGCCTGAAAGTCGCTAACGTATTCTTTCACAGAATTTCTTACTGCAATTCGAAGATTTCTGCATTTCTGTAGATATTTTATTTGTATTGCATAAAAAGAGCTGAAAAAGTTTTAGCAACTTGACTGTCGTTAATCAAGGATTGATTTCATTTCATTTCATTTTAAATCAAAATAACAGTGATATAAATTAAATTAAAAGTGATTCCTATTGCAATTGGAGATCTTGTGTGTCAAGTTAATCAAATTTAAATTCGCTCATCGGGCTGAGTAAAGCATTTATGGTCATCTCACATGGGTAAATTTGTTCATCAAAGTTGAAATTGATGTCAGAATTTAATTTGCCAGTACTGCCAAATGCTAAGTTATTTAAATACTTATAGCCCGAGCTGCCTAACCTGGATTTATAAAGTTTTACTTAACTTGTCGATAGTTAATTCGGCCACAAGCCAGGACAAAGGCCGAGAGCAGCATTCTGATTTAGCATATAAATATGTATGCATACTCACACACACACACACACACACACACATACACACACACACAATGGTCATGTTTTGGCTTGTTGTGCTGCGTTTTCGCTTCATTCTCGAGCCTTTTCCAAATACATTAAAACTTTTCTAATAACAAAGTTCTACAGCCGAAACGAAGCGTAAATATTGAGAACGGAAACTCAAAAGATATTTTTGTGTTTTGAGCCGCAGTCAACGACAATGTCAGCCAACATCTATGTATAACCGGCAAAACAGTAGCAACTATGTATGTATATACATATATACGTATATATTTAGTACAGCTTCACAACAAAATTAGCTTCTTTGCATTTTAAAATCCACGAAAAACAAAAAAACAAATGTAATCAAGTAATCGAAGTTCGCATTTTTCACTGGAGCTTAAGCAATGACTACTTTCTTGGTTATCTGAGCTTTGTTTGTATTGAGAAAGGTACATTCACTAAAAGCTGTCATGGATCACTCATGTTATTGGTTATTTGCCATACGAAGATAATAAAATGCGCTTTTTGTGGGTCTTACAACAGCAAAACGAAGCTTTGGAAAAACAAGAAATGAAAAAAGCCAACAGGCAATCGCTAAAATCTAATTTAATTAATCGAAAAAGTCAATTTAATTATCAGTTTCTGATTTACTTCTAATTATTCTTATTATTATAATACTAATTACTTTTTGGAGAAGTCTAAAAGTCGAGAGTTTCTCAACCTCGGCAATATATTAGCTTTCTCGCATATCTTGATGAACTTTTTTTCCCCACTTTAAACAGACTTTTGATTTATTTAGATTTTGATTAATTTTTCAACACATGTCAACGCACTTTTGATGTGACTGTGTCGTAAATTTAATGAAATGCCATCTCACATTACTTCATTTAGATTAATCTCTCAAATAACACGTCAACTTATTATTGCTCTTTCCTCCAACAAGTTAAAAATCATGATTTTTAATCAAAAGTGGTGGAACATTTATATAATTATATAAATTTTTTTTTTGTTGGTCATCAGGTCAACATTGTTAATTTGTAAGTACATGGAATCGTAATTAAGTACAATTTGAAGTCAGTGACAAACCACACACATACGAACAACAGCAGCAGTTGGCGACGACGAAGCAGCAGCAGCAGCAGCAGCAGCAGAAGCAGCTAAATAATTTACAAATAAATCAAAGTAATTAACTTGCGGGGCGTCATGCAACAGGTCACGGGGTCATTTATTTATGGGGGAGTGACACGCACATGTTGAAACTTATCTTTTGTCCCATAATTGGTACAGGCATGAAATGGACAAATCCAAAACCGCTTTTGTGTTGCTCCAATCAACCCAAGCAACCCAATTAATATTGAGGTTGAGCTGAGAACGAATACACACACAGACATACAGGCACAGACAGGCACAGACAGGCAGACATAGCCACACACGGGCACCCGCACATACACACAAATACACACATCAAACGGCTGAACATTAATAATGCATCATCAGCTAATGCACTCCTAATGCTCAACGAGTTCACGCCCTCACAGATACCCTGCCCAGCTCGTGGACTTTGTGTTTGACTTTGACAAAGTTTTAAGCCCGAGTTGTTGTTGTGCACACACCACTTATTATTTGTGGCATACTTCAGTAAGGTCCAAGTTGTGACCAAACCAAACCAAACCAAACCAAACCAATACCAATTGGTCCACTCTCGACCAGTCCATACTTCATTGAACTTTGAACAAGCGCAGCCTTCTATCCAGGACAAAGTTTTGTTTGTTTTCTATTTTTTTTTTCTCTTTTTTTTTTTGTAGTGGGGAGCACACCTCCATCATAAATCAATACAGTTCAATTTTTGGTGCGTCGCTTCTGTGAAAAACCGCACTCGACTAGAGTGGCTGCTACAGAGAGTAACTAACTCAAATAGCCTTCAAAAAGGACTTCGTCAATTGATTTCTGAGAAATTGTGATTGGAAATTTGAGCTAACAAACGCATTTCAGGTGCCAAGCTGTCATTTAACTATGCATTCATTTAAATGACAATTTTTGATTGAATTTCAAATTAAAATTTTCATTTTAAGCTTTTTAAGAGTTATTGAACAAATTCTTGCAACTACAATTGTCTTATTTCATGTAATATTATATAAATATATACAACTTGCAATTAAATAGATTTCTAAAACTAGCTGGGAATACAATATACCTTTTGTCACGTAGCTCTCACCAGATTGCCAATTGCTGTCCTAGCCATAATAGTCATTGAAAATGCTGTTAGCAGTTGTGACTGGGCCACAAAAGCACTTTGCAACTGCCTAGCAACGAGCACATAAAACAAATGCTTAAATAATATGCTTTATTGTGTCCACGTACATATATATATATATATATATATATACTTAGTTACTTGCCATGAATTTTATTTGGTTTAATTTGATCTTCATTTTTATTAGCCAGCAGACACATAAATGATTACAAGGTTTTCTCTTCTGCCTACCAACTGAATTAAATGGCAGACAGGACAAACAATCAAACTTGCTCTGAATGTGTGAGTGTGTTTTGAACGTACAGTTTCGACCACTTAAAGTTTGGCCACAAATAAGTGCTATTTATTGGAGTTGCCACGGCAAAACTCGTGAAACGCATAAAAAATGAAAGCATACAAAATATATAAAATGTAAACAGTGTACACAAAAAAGCAGAAATATATATTTTGCAAGTAATAAATTTTGTACACGGCGGATGCGGCAGCTGCGACCAGAAACTAACTCAAAAAAAAGGGAGAACAAAAAAAATAAAAATAAATAAAATAAAGCAGGCAAAACACAATACATCCAAACACCCATTGTTGCTTAAACCAACTCTCCCAGCAGCTTGCCCCGAAAAATGTCACAACACCAGTTCAAATCTGAACGCAAAAATTGTTGTTGCCACACACACACACACACACGCACACACAAACAACAAATGTCGCAACCATAAACTAAAAGCCAACTGCCACCCCCACAAAAACTAAACACCACAACACAACCGACCAACCCACAGCGAGCCGTTGCTGCTAATAACTTAGGTATTTTTTTTTTGTTGTTCTTGTTGCTTTTGTTGTTGCAAGTCACGCAAGTGGTGGCAAGTTCAAAACTTTCAACCGAACTCCATAAACCAAAGGCCACTCGTCGTCCTGCACGCTTCGCCCTAAACTGCATCCATTGAATATGCATAAGTAGCATTTAATCAAGTTGTGTAAGAGCTTCTTCGAACCCATATAGCATATATATATTCCTGATCAGCATCATTAGCTGAGTCGATGTCTGTTTGTCTGCCTGAGCAAAATAATAATATCAATCATTAATTATGAAAATTGCATTAATATCGTGTAAGGAAACACTCAAGTTATAAGCCAAAGTGTATTTTCATATTGATTAAATTACTATATATATATATATATATATATATATATATATATTATCTGTACTTACATAATTAGATATTCACATGTAATTTTAATCAGTTTCAATCGATGCCATTCATATTTAAGTCGAGTTCTTGCCTGAAGGTAATTAGAGAGCTGTGATACCCTTACATTAATTACTTTTGCTTTGAAGTAGCTCGTCAATAGTCAATTGATTATTAAATGCTATTTTCAAACATTTTGTACAATTCAAGTTGGGCAAGTTCACGTTAAATATGTTTGACTGTATTTATCGTGGCAACTTGAGCTACCGCTAATGGTGTGCAAATGTTATTTCGAAGGCCCATTTAAAATGCAAAGAATTGTGACCCGTGCTCAAGAGAAGGTTACGCTCCTTTAATTTGCGCTTTTAACG